CCTACATGTAGATGTAAGGACCAAAAAAAAAAAAACAATCAAGGTGCATTTCTTGTGTTTGTGCAGCCACTGTAAATTCTAACCAAAGAAATATGAAAAAAAAATGCAGTCTTTGGAGTGGAAAGCCATGCAGTTGTCAAAGTTGCCGCAAAGAACTGTGGAATTTTCAGGCTTCCAGCTGACTTTTTTGTTCATGCCGTGCAAAGCCAACAAGAGTTGGAGTTAGGATTTGGCTTTGAAGGACACGTTCCTGGAATATCTGTAAACAAGCAGTCTTTTTATATAGGCGCACGTGTGTGTGTATAAAGTGCGTCAACTCCGTAGCTTTCGGAACAAATCCTGCACTTAAAAATGGGATGGGCAACATATATTCCTGAAAGAACATTTAGCAACTCTGCTCACAAGCTGTCTCATGCACCATCCTATTTGAGGATACTGACACAAATCATCTCATATCTGCAGAGCCCTCCTGGAGCTTGATGTGGGTGGACACTTCCATGTGGGCAAAATGTACAAGTTTGCATGGATTAATTAAGACAGTGAGCTACTCAAAGTGTTCCGTGACTTCAAATGCCAAATTTTGATAAAGATATGTGGCCCCTGTAGGCAAAGTTTCATTTTATCTCCCCCCCCCAAATGGATGCCCATTGAGTGGATTGCTCTGTACATGATGATGAAATGAGGGAGAAAAATCTGGGCTTGAGAAGGACATATCTTTTCCTTAACTAAGGGGGGGTCCAACCTGTGGGTAGACCCACCCAGTATATGTTAATTGTCTTGAAGGACTGGCACTAAGTTGTCGGGGGAGGGAGGTACATGTAGTTGAAGTTTCCCCTTGGCCTTCTGGTGCAAGTTTGTCTGCTGGCTTTTGCTGAGCTTTGATGCAGTGGTCAAGGTATTTGCATGTTAAGAAGCATTTGAAGAAAGATATGGGACAGAGAGAACTCTGGTCCCCCGCCTTTGTGTTGGTCATTGNGTCTAGAGTGTGTATAGGGATTTGACAGGTAAGGGGGGTATCACTCCGTCCCATATCTTGCCTGGTATATTAAGAAGAGCCTTCAGATGTGAATATGTGCACCAAGACAAGCCTACAAGTATACAGTATAAATGATGTACATACATGTACATGTAGTACAAGGTGACGGCTACATTTGCATGGTTTCTAAATTGACATTTTGGATGGCATGGATGTCATTATCAGTCCAATTGAAAGACTGTTTTTTTTCGGCGTTGTTGCATGTTGTGGTTTGTCCCTCCATGGTCCATCCATGGAAAGTAGCCGACACATTGCCCAGAATGTGAAGAAACCTCACCTGTGGCTCTGTAAAAAAATTAATGATAACTAGTCAATTGAATGTAAAAGTTCTTGAGGGAAGAGACTGATGTTTCCGTGAAGTCATTTGCAAGGCTATTCCCTCTTTTATTTGTCATCATTGGTGTGAAGTTTGGGTACAGTAGTGGAATGGGCAACAGTGACTCTTTTGTGAACCTTATTAGTGCAAGTTAGGTTAGCCACGCTGCCTCTGTTCAACAATGAAAATATGTGGTACGTGTACACTGTATAATGGGGGATTGTATCAGTTACTGGAAAAGTATCGTCATGTGTCTATGCACTGAAGTCTACATGTAGGTGTAATGTGCAGTAATTTAAGCCCTGTTTGAAACAGTATAAACAGAGTTTAAGGCCAATAACATGCCATCCAATGTCACTGGGATTTCTCAAACTAAAATGAAATTATTTTCTTGTCCAATTTTTTTTTTTTGGTGTGTAAGCCAATTACCGTGCATTTTTAAATATTCACACCAAAACAAATTCACCTCATGAAACGTCATCGTGCCCAAACCTGCAAGCAGCTATTTTTCAGTGCCGTCTCTACTTTCTGTGACATCTTGGACCATTTCTTTATGGTAATTTTGTCAACTCTGCTCTTAGATGGAAGCGCCTATAAAGGCAGGAATTTGATTTTGGGCTACATTTGCCGTAATAATGGAGAAAAGAAGGGCAGACTTTTGTTTTGGGGCTGTACCGAATATTTAAATATTCAATCCGATTATTGAATCTTCAAATATTTTTCAAATTTGAAAATTCAAATGCAAAATTCATGAAAAGGAAGGGAGAATTTTCTCTTGTTTTAAATTGAGAAAAATGGCACTGTAAAGGCTTGTTTATCTCGTATTCAAAAGTAAATTATTCGTTAAAACAATTACAAGGAATAAAAATTTTCAAAAGGACAAGTAGTACTGTTTGTCTCTTAATTTTTGATAAATTGTGGATGGAGATATTCCTGGAACATGTAGAAATGAGAAGCTATTATAGTGATCGTAAGTACAATTGTGTGCATTATTGCAACTGATTTTGTTTATGGTTTTTTCATCAGCAATCTGCTGATTGGTAAGACCTAATATTTGGATATCCAATCAAATTGAAGGTGGAACATTCAAATAGTGAATTATTCAAATTGCCTTGGCCCTATTTTGTTTCAACATTAAACAGCTTCAGGTACATGTATGAAGAATAAATAATGTCTGCATTGAAATCCTTGCAAAACGCTTGAATTAAATAGATGTTCAAGGTAGATGTTTGGTTTATTACAATTTAACTGTTCCTCTGTAGAATTGGAACCTCCCCATAAGGTTTTTGGCTTTTTATTTTTCTCATTTTGTTATTTCAGTAAATAGTCATTGTTTGCATTGGATTCTCTTCATATGGTATGCTTCAGATTCGAAGTGTTTTCTGTCTTTTGTCAAGCAAGTTTTTTTGTAGATAAATCATCAGAATCTGAACCTGCCAAAGTGACATGTTTTACCTCTGACAAACAGACCTCTGAAGTTAGGCGGTTGCCTAGTGATTTCTGCCACCAGACATGCCAGAGTTCAAGGAAGATGACCTAATGATCAAGGGCAAACAGACTTCCCAATCTTTTCTCCTCTCCCTCCAGACATTTGTCTCCCAAGCCAGACCTTGCCCCGTTGAACATCAACACCAAGTAGAAACTTGATATCGTCACATAATTAAGACCAGGGGAGCTTTTTTAAGGTCAAGAGCATTTGGTTTTGTTCAGCTGAGAGGCCAAGGCCTAGAAAGCTTGTGCAGAGTTGGTACTTTTCACTTTGTGTTAAATTGTGAATTATTTACCCGCAGTTGGGATCATGATTCCTTTCGGAAGACAATTGAATTGCATGTCTCACACTTGGGGTCGTGGGGAGAAAAGTAGACCGCCCACAACTTAGCCGACAAAAATTACTTTTGTGTGAGGTGTTTTGGCTGCCAACTGAATGATGCCTCCTTGGTATCATATTACATTTAAGTATTTCATCATTGGGGCACCGGTACTTGCTTGCTGTTTTAGATTTCAGTTAGATCGCCAAAGAAAAACTAAAAAAAAGAATGACAGGTGCCTAGGTATACAACCCCCCTTTAGCTAAGATCCCCTCTTTAGGCCTAACCTTGGTCCAGTCTGCATCTGGATTTCTGACTCAGGTACATTCGGATTCCACTAGTTATAGCATGGCTTGACTTGGGTGTGGTCTCAAGTATCGTGACGATACTTCTTGTGCATACTCCATTATCCCTGGATGGAAAAGATTCTGCTCATCGAATAGCAGGTGCATTAATTAATTAATCATTGTACCGATACATGTATGCTTGTGTTTTTTTTCCACAAGTCTTCGAGGGCAAACACAGAGTACACAGTGTGGTAATACACGTCAAGCAGGGCAAAAATCTCAAATTAATTAATGTGTAGGCATGTGTTACTAGAGTGAACCCTGTGTACTGGTAGTACATGGATGGTACATTGTACATGTAAATGCTATGCACTCATTTTATGGTGATGCATGTAGGTCATGGAAGTGGCTCGTTAAACACCAAAGGGTGTGCAAGATTTATGGAAGCTGACTCTTTAATTTCAGACTCAAGTGGGGATTCTGACCTCATCATTTGACAGGTCTGACAAAGAGTTGGAGTACGAGTACCGGTTTGAGCTGGTGCCTGGGTAAAGGGTATCTGGTGCACATCGCAGAATTGGGGTAATGTCTGTTTAACTTGAACAGAAGTACTACAAGCAGGAACAGAATTGAATGTAAAAGGGGGAGGGGACCAATACGTTGCAGACTTTGGTTGGGATGAGAGGTGCTATGTTTACCACAAGCTGATTGGACTATTCTTCCATTATGAGGGTTTGTGTGCGTGATGTATGTTGGTGAGCACTCATACACACACACGTACATGTTATGTACACCCAGGGAGAACGTTGTCAGCTCTTTTGGAATGGGCGGATCCCTTAACGGACCAATCATGGCCTAGCAAGCAGTCTTCTACACACACTTTTCCTACGGATCTCCAGTGGTGTAAATCTGTGCTGGGGACTGTTTCATATCATATTCCCTGAAGCCGTTTTATAATTACATACTGTCTATTAGGATGGAACCACACTCTTTTGTAGTTGCTTTTTCTGCCAAGCGTCCGTTTCAAGATTTGTCTAAATCAGGCTTAAAACACTATTTAATGTTTAATTACAAATTTGAAATTATTTGTCTGAGTAGATAGTCACTAATTTGTCATGAAATTTTTATTTTATTGCTTTCATTTGTATTTTAAAATTTCAGAAGTTTAGTTTATTGCTAGTTTAGTTTAATTTCCGTATCTTAAATGAAATATTCACATGAATCTAATATCAAAATAACAGAAATGATATGAGGATTCCAGATAAGAAGAAAATGCTTGTACAAGATCTGAAACCCGTTTCTAATTATTCAACCCTTGCTTTCAATTTCAATATGGCCAACTCATGAATAAAGTCTGTTAAAGGTTTTTTGTTCCCTCTCATCCAAGCTTTCTCTGGCCTCCTGTACTGTCTCTGTTGCAAGCATTCTGTTTTAATATGCATGTATGATAAAATCCAAACATTATCAGGTGGAATTCACATCTACTGATACATTTACATTCTTTTTGTGTTTTTCCCGAAGGTATTTACTGTGTTTGTTTTTCTGTGCTGCAGATGCCAGAGATGATGTACAGAAGAGGACATTCACAAAATGGGTCAACTCCCACCTTAAAAAGGTAAAAGTGCCATTGATGTGTTGTCCTCAGCAATGTTCACACTATTGTGTATCCAACTTGTGTGGAACTCTACACGGTTCCAACCTGTTTAGACTAAAATGTACATGTAAAATTTCAACACAGTTCCGTTTAGCTACATGTACGTTTCCGTGCTACTCAGTACAACACCAGCATTAGTGCTGCACATGTTTCAACATGTGTATTGCACAATCATTTCGCACTACACATTGCTGGCTGTCCAACATGGATCAGATCAGAAAATCCCTGCACTGCACAGCCGACTTCTGAACCTGCCGGTCATCCTGTGGTAGCCTTGCTTATTTGAACAGACACCTTACTATTTCTGCTTGTTCCATGGAGCTGGCTTTGGATGCAACTGAGGTTGGATTTGTTCACATTTAGAGAAAGAATGCACATATATGTACATTGAGTTACTGCACTGTGCAGGATTTTGGAATGTTAGTCCCATGCCTGAATGGACAGACACTAAGTGTGTAAAAGTAAGCCGGCTGTACTTAGTAGCAAAGTTACAAAACTAAGGTTTGTTGGCTTTAGCATCTGACACACGGATACATACTTGTACACTTACATGTACATGTACTATAGAGTACATCTATGTATGTCTGCATGATGCTATGAGAAATATTTCCAGCATGCAGCTGGGTAAATTAATGTACGGTTTACTTGCGCATTGATATGTCAAGACCATACATTTACATGTACCTGTGGTACAGCGTGTACAGCATGACCTGTTTGCATATTTTATCAAATAATAGCCTGATAAAGTCACCCACTCAGTCAAATTTTATCTGCAGTGAGTTTGTTGATAAACTTGTCAAAGCTGCCAAGCTTATGATGAATTTACAATATAGCAATTGAGGCATCTCTAACAATGTTTGTAAGTTGTGTACATTCCATGTACCTGTACACCCAATACTGGCACTGGTACGCACACGTACATGTACGATGGACCAGAAGCGTCACTCTAAAGGCACTTTTCTACTGTAGCATGCAACCACAGTGTTTAAAAATCCCACAACTGCCTTCGTGTACAGATACACTTACCTATAAAGATTGGGTACGGCGCCAATCTTCCCAAAAGCCTCCATTATTTTGTCTAGGGCCAGACTGAAAGGCATTGCAATTTCTGTCACGTCCCAACTGACAACAGTGCAACAAAAAAACGTAATTTATTATGCCCTCCTACCAGGAAGTAGACAAATTTTCTCAAAAGTGTTCCTTGGACTGGTGATCAGTGCTCAATCCTGTGGCAGTTCCCGTTACTATTTCGAGGCAGTGCAAATTTTATATCTTGAAGCAGTGGAAATGATTAAAAAAAAACCCAATATATTGGCCCACAGGTAAATTCATGCATTGCTGAGCAAAACACAACGCAAGGTCCGGCCCAAGACATTGTACGGTGTACCGTTCAAAATCAGCCTCAAGTTTTGACAAGGAGCCTCACTTCCTTGGAAATCCTCGATTGTGCAAAGAGGCTTTGGAAATTTTATGAAAGCCTTTGATTACAGTCCTCAATTCCTCAACACTTAAAGGATGTACTGTACATGTATGTTCAGGATATATCGTGGCTGCTACTCTAAAACTTCCTCAGTCCCTCAATTTGTCCTCCAAAACCTCTTGCTGGATTTTGAAGGAATTGGGGGTTATGGCTAACCACAGTTCACAACACATTTAGTTTAGGAATGTCGCAAATAACTGCAAGGTCAAATACCGGTACATGTACTGTACACATACATGTACATACATGTACATACGTACATATGTAGGGCCGGTAATGATTTGGTCCCGTTCTTCAAGGGTCTCGCACAGTGTGCATGAGTAAAAGTCTTCTGTATAACAAGGATAGCCTGACACAGCATTTTTAATTTGTCCTCCCTCATTCATCGACAGGCCACCGCTGAGGCCTCAGTAAACCTGTTTGATCAAGCATTCATACAAACTGGCCTCTTGACCACAAATACTCGGAAATAAAGTTCAGCAGCCAGTTAAATGGCCACTTAGCGTCCCTTTTTTTGGGTCGCCATCCCTTCTGTAACATTTGGAAATGAATGAACCGAGGAATTCCCTGGTATCCATTTTGGTTGCCCGCAATTAGGGCCAATTCTAAAGGTTCTTTGAAAAGCAGTGCTCAGTATTGTTGCAGATCTCTCCTAGGGAGTTGAGGTTGAGTTGAAAAGAGCTGTCCATTGTTGTACCGTGCCAGAGCACTCTAGTTATACAAATGTGCAAACTTGAAACTATAACCACACAAAGTAAGATTTCAGTATTTCCATACCTGAAAAGAAGACTGCACATTTATCTTTTGGTTGGCGTTTTTGTTGACTATTTTTGAGAGGTGTGTCTTTACCGGTCCATTTCACAAAATGGTAAGAGCAGGATTCCTGCGGCCTGGAAAACTCATGAAAATTTGTTTTTCCTTTTTCAGGCCTGGAAAAGTCATGGAAATTCGTAAAAATGACTTAAGTCATGGAATTTTGCCATGGAAGTCATAATACAATATGTGATTTCTATTATCAGAAATAAGTGCATAAAATCTGTGATTGTATTTGCAACCTAAAAGGCCCAATAGTCCAAGAAGTTGCATTACTTGGTCGTGGATTTTCATAATTTGGTCATGGAAAAGTCATGGAATTTAATCGTCTTTTAGGTGCAGGAAGCCTGTAAGAGGCCTGTGTTGGAGGTGCCTCACTGATAAATGTAGCCAACTGTAGATGAGAATGATTGATTTGTGTTGTGTGGCAAAAGTCTATCTGCCTAGAATGCCTTTTTTTGAAGAAAAAGAATTGTTTCACTATCCTCGGCCTGGTAGTCATAGAGAGAAAACGTGTCACTAAGGTAATGCTCATCCGTGAACTTTAAATTCACTGTTACATTCAATCTGGGCAAAGTATAAATTTTTGTCTGTGATTGGAAAATGTTCCGGTTTATTACAAAAAAAATTAAAATAGATTTGCATGTAACTGTTGAGCTGAGTTAGTCTGAATCCAAATGTCTTTTGATTGAAGTACATGTACAATGTAGGGTGTTCAGAAGTCCTATATGTTTACATGTACATGTAATTTCTCCTGCATGTAACTCATACAGTGCTCAATAACTGTTTGCAAAGGGCGATCTCCGTTGTTGCAACTATGCATCAACAGTAATTGCCTCTGAAAACTTTTGAAGGTTTCACAACAAAGAGCTGATGGGACAGCAGTCCAAATGCTGGGCATTGCACAGTGAACCAGGCACCTGATTGGCCACACTTGTGTACAGATGAGGAAAAGGGGTGTGGCCTGATTTCTCATCTCTCTTATTTCTCACCAGTGGCATTGGTGGAATGTTTGCAACCGTGACTTCTTATTGCTGTGTTTGAAAAGCCATCTGATTTAGTAGGAAATAAACCATCAGACTCCATTGAGGTTGGGCCCTGAGTTCTGACTATAAACCCCCAGGACTACGTGTACATGTATATTTTAAACCATAACAAATTGTGTAGAAATTCAAATACGTGTAATCCCTTATAAAGGCAAAAATTACAACACCTATTGAAACCCTCTGAATTGCAAGTTTTGTAAGGCTGTGTGTTCAAGCATGACACTGAAGGTACTCCATTGGTATTCCAAAAAAAAATTGGTATCGCTCCTGATTGCCTCGAGGCAGTAGCCGCAACAAGTCCAGGGTACTCAGACAAGATACAGACATTGTGTCCCACCTTGGTTTTTTGTGATTCTGTTCAATTTATCAAATCTGATGGCACCAGCATTCCACACAGTATTTGTCATTTATATAAAAGGCTCTTGACAGTTGCCATACATGTACAAGCACAGAGTACCTGGAGTTCAAATCCTTTATAAGTTTTCTTCCGTTAATCCCGTAGAACGCAGCACCTGTGCGAGTTAGGCCTAGATGATCAGTCTCTGTAGGCATTTTCTCTCTTGTGCAGAAACTGTAATTACCAATACAGTCCTGTGTGCACGTACATGTACCTTTCTCATACTACATGTACATGTGCATGCACATAAACTTGCAGTTACTTACATACATGAGCCATTTTGGCACTGGTACCACACCCTCTCCTGACTGCCGAGAGTCAGTTTCCGTGATGGTTACACACAACTTATTCAATCAAAACAGCCCAAAAGAAGTTTATCAAGTACCGGTGCAGATTTTTTATTCTCTAATACATTGTGTATTTCATTATTTCGGAAAAATTTCATGTTTTTTGTAATGGAGATATAGTATTGTGGTAATAAGCCCTTTATGTACTGGTACTGAACACTAAACCTACATGTACTGTTTGCTACATGTATGTGCACGTACACAAGGTACTGAGTGGTTAAAACATGCCACGCCCCCCTAGCCAAAACTCAGCTGCGTGACCTCACTCAACAATGCACGCACTAAATTTAGTCAGTACATTGACAAGTTCCCTGGCTGCATTGTTTGCCAAAGAAAACATTCCCCGCTCACATTGCCCATTCATTCTTTTCTTCCACTGTGCCCTCTAGAATCAGTCACGTTCCTGCTTGCCCGAAGTGTTTGAGCAAGCCGTGCCCTTGTCTCAGACGCCTGTCTGTGCAGGTTGGCAAATTGGCCAAGCCCCTCCGGTCCAGTCTTCCCACGCTTTGGATCAGCTCGTAAAACTACATAGGCGAACATGGACCTAGTAAAGGGGTTTGGCATCAAATATGCCAAGTTTTTTTTCCTGAGTTGACCTTAAGGGCCCTGAATACAAGGGTCATTAGAAGTGGTGTGTTTGTAGCACCGATCTCCATTCATGAATTTCTGAAGGATTTTTTTCTTTTAAAAGCTACCGGTACATGTATTTAAAAAGATTCCCAGGACAAGGTAATTTGCCATGGGATGCCTTTTGTCTGGCCTTATTTGTCCTTTACTTGGATAGTTGCCTTTAGCACCATACAAGCGGCTTCCAAGGTTGTTAGTCTGACTAAACACTGCATTGCCCCAAACGCTGCCATTTTTCCCTCTTAGGTATG